TACGTCACTAAGAATGGTAACCAGCGATTGAAACTTCCATTGCTTATAAGAGTAAAACTATCAAGGTTGCCAAATGAACGCCATATAGTTGTAAATGTTTTTGATGGATATTGTTCATAAAAGTAATAACATATACATAAAAGCAGAGAAAACATTTTCTGCGTATGAATGAAACTATTTCTACTGTTTATTCTTAAGGTTGTTGAGAGAAGATCCAATTGATGTGGTATGGAGCCAAGAATTAGGTTTCTATGAATTGTATCAGTCATACTAAACATCAAGTAGATGTTGTGCTTCTTAATAACATTCTGGGATTTATGTGTTAATGGGTAGCTTTTTGAAGTAAAGCTCCTTTTTGGTCATCTGTGAGCTGTACTCCCATTCCTTGGCCAATCTTCTCCATCTCTTTACTAATCTATTCAACCTGTCCTTCGTTAATTTTAAAAAGTGTCAGGGGCAAGCAGTAGCTCTGTCTAAGATCTATAGTTACTACATAGGTTGGTGAGAAAATTTTATATCTCCGATTTTAGTTAACTTTGGTTATAATGAACCTTTTAACGTGGTCCATGGGGGTTCATTATAAGCGGATATCATTGTATATAGATTTTAGGTAGAGGAGTTAGGATTTCCAAGTTTTTTATTATTTTTTGTAGTCTAACTTGCAGTGGATTTTTAATCATTAATAACACAGGAATAAAAGAAACTGTTTTAGAGTTTATAACTGATTCTTATGTCTTTCTTTGTACTGATCTTCTACTAATGGTATTAGTTTTTTTTTCATCACCTACAGTTTCTTTGCAGTGTCACTTTCTTATATATTATTGCAATATCTATTAAAACACAATTTTTACATACTCTTGAAGTCACTAAGACTTTCGATTTATCGAAATATGCTGCGAAGTTATCACCATTTTTGATTCAAAGTTGGTAATCAGTACCAACAACCCAATGTTTAATTTGGTGCTGATACAGATGAAAAAATTTCTCACAGATATACATAAAACATTGTCTATATTAAGCTAAAACATTCAGAAACTGTTTTGTTAGTCCTAGTTTTATGTGCAACGACGGCAACAGAATGTCTTTCTCGGCCACGATGTTGCATTTCCAGCATGCCATGTTTTTCTGGGTGATTGTGGATTCTTTGTGCTGCTGTCTCATTCATATGGTCAAAAAGCATTGCTGACACTTATAAATTTCCACGTTTTTGCACACCATTCATTAATCAAATCGATAATATCTGAACAGTATACTAAATCTGCAAGTAATTCAGCTTTCTCCTTTGTTGAGCTGAAATTCCTTATCAAATCATTTAACTCGGCTTGAGTAAACAAGTTCACTCTCTTTTTCTGATGCAGACATGTCAATATCTGTTTCAGTTTACGGCCAAAATAATCCGGATATCTTATTGCTTTCTTATTTTTTGAATTTTACCCAGTAATATCGACGGCACAAATATAATTGTTACTCGGCTCTTTCCATATCATTGGCAAGACCAAATCTAAACGCTTCTTTTTATCTTTTTGACCATTTTCTAAGATCTTCAACACATACGTAATATACTTTATGCGGTTTCCAAGTCTTATCCTTATCACAAAGTTCAATTCCACAAAGTATCAATCGTATATTTTGACTCTTAACAAACTTTGTACTATTCCGTTTATATTTTTAATCACAAACATGCTACAAATATAATAAGAACACTCAGGAATGTTTTCACAACCACGATTAATCATTATTCGACGTCTCAATTTTACGTATTTTTAGGAACCAATCATAAAAGATATTGGTAATTTGGGTAAATTACGATATCACTTTTAAATCTTCATTATTTAAGCTATCTTTTAAGATATAGAGCATTAAAATATCTCGATTTTCTTAGATGTTACAGTAGGGAGAGACCAACATATTTCGATTTTGACCATTTTGATGTATTTATAGTAGCTGATTATAAAAAATCTTGGTAATTCAAGTAAAACAGAATATCATTTTTAAATCTTCATCATTTAAGCTATCTTTTAAGATATAGAACGTTAAAATATCCCGATTTTCTTAGAAGTCACAGAAGGGAGAGATCTACATTTTTCGATTTTGACCATTTTTGTCCTATTTAGAATAAGTAGATATTAAAGGTCTTGGTAATTTTGGTAAAATACCATATCATTTTTAAATCTTTATCATTTAAGCTATCTTTTTAGATATAGAACGTTACAATATCTCGATTTTCTTAGAAGTTACAGACCCACATTTTTCGATTTTGACCAGTTTGATGTATTAATCGTATATTTTGACTCTTAACCAACTTTATACTATTCCGTTCATATTTTTTAATCACAAACATGCCACAAATATAACAAGAACACTCTGGAATGTTTTCACAACCGCGATTAATCATTATTCGATGTCTCTTTATGATTTACTAACAACTGGTAAAATGAAAGTTAAACGGGCTGAAATGCGTGGTAAACCTTTTCAAAACGTTATTTATAAAAAAATCAATCGAAGAACAGGTGCGCAAAATAAGATAGATTATTCAAAAAGCTTTTTATCGTTTTTTAAAGAATTGATAAAATTGTGATTATGTTCAGGACTACTGTGGTAGTACTACAGAGAGGTATTAAAGAAATAACTGGTTTTGGTTCACCAGATAATCTCAATTACTCGTTTTTACGAGCGGTGGCATCAACACTCTTTCATTAATTCGGAAAGTCCCCTGTTTTAATGTATGTAATTTCCCCTTCAAAGACCTCTAAAATGGCTTATCTTGTTAAATTTAACTCTTTTTTTAAATTAACGTTTTTAAAATGTATCAAATTGTTAAAAACTTGATTAAGTTTGAAATTGAAACAACTCTTAAATGTTCCTCCTTTGTTCTTTTTACATTGAACCGAGTCGTGTGTTTTTACCCTTTTCTTTTCAAGAACAAGCTTTTAGATTATCCTGCTGGGAAAGTATCTTGTAAAAGGGCCACTAATTAGGAAGGAGCATGGTGTATTGTTTTATATACATACACCCGCATCTACTTACTACTTACCCTTTTTTTTATAGAATTTTAAGGTTTTAGATTCAACAACTAAATAACATTGTTTTTTTAATCATAATTTAAATTCTTTTTCGTGTATAAACAGTTAGCCCCCAGGTGTTCAAAAATGTTTTTCTACGGTGCCAATATCACATATCCATTGTCGTTTAATCCTCTTAGAATTTACGTTAGTTTGTGGATCGATAATCCGAAATTGCGGTTTAAGTGGGTTCCCAATTCGGATTTTAAGTGTGTGTCTTTGACATGTTTCCGATTGAATGAAGTCTAAAGAACGATTTTCATTGTTGTAAAATTGCGAATTTTTCATTAAATAAACTTTGAGGGATTTTAAATTCTTAGGAATGAAACTGTTTGGTTTCCGAATGAACGGTTTGAATCCAATAATACTGTTTAAGAAAAAAAAAATAAAAATAGGCGGATTTTAACCAAAAATTCGGTCGCGGTCTTTTCGCGAGGCTTTCTCCGTTGTTGCTGTGATGTTTGCACACATCCCGTTGAGGTCATCGACTATAAATTAATTGTACAGCGATGATTAACACACATCCATTGTTGTTTGTTGGGGTTTCGTGAGCGCGCGAGTTCTTTCGACACGCACTTAGGCAAAGCGGGTAATTTTTTTCTCTCTCTATACTCACTTAGAATAATTACTGGGTATTATAAATTTAAATAAATATTAACTAATTACAATATAATAGTAAATTTTTATTTAACTTTCGTTTAACTTTTCGTTATTAAGGAGCACTCAACTAAATAATAACAGGAACTGATCGATTTCTCGCTTGATCGGTTTCTCCACATATTTCAAAAATCCTTAAAGGGGGTTTGCCGAGGGTTGGAACGCTTTTAGGTAAGAGGCGTCAGACGAACCCTGGGGGGCACAACAGTTCAACGAATTCAACCCCTAAAGAAAACTTTCGAAGACGCACGAGCCCCAAATTAAGTACCCGAAAATTGCTGTGAGTTCAACATTTGGTTAACGACAGAAAATTTTAAACCAATTTTACCTTTTTTTTTTATAAAATTTATTATTTTAATTAAAGACTAATTCATATTCGTGGTTGCTTCAAGAATACCGCGGTTAAGTACGTTGGGATCACATGTTTGGCTGTACAAAATTAAAAAAAAAAGAAAATAGTAGTCCAACTTGTTCTGCATGTATTCAGCATGATTCTTTTACCGTTTTTGTGCTCTAGAATTTTTTTTTTGCTTGGCTTTTTTTGTATTCTTATAACGTAAAGTTTTTTTTTTGTTTTAGTTAGAATAAGTTTGGAGTTGATTTTAACTTAAGGTTTAAACTTCGTTTTAATCTTAGCAGTAGTCCAAGTTCTTGACTTTTGCTCTGCGCGATTTATTTTAAAGAGGCCGAAGAACGACCACACACAGAAAGAGGAACGCTTGCGCCTTAGTTAATTACGCAGACGTATCTGAGACAAAGTGCCCCTCTCTCGTTCTTCTTCTTTAAAGTTTCTCGACTACTGTGCATGCGAAACGAGTTAAGTCTTATGTTGAAGAAAAAAGAATCTACGTCGTTCTGTCAATCTTAAGAATCATGGTGAAATAAACAACAAAAAAAAAAGACCAGGAGTTAAAATTTATTGTTTTTTTTAAATTAAGATTAGATTAAGATTACACTTTTTTTTCGATTAATTATTTGATAAGACAAGAAATTACACGATTTTTATTCCTTATCAAAAACGTTGATAAAAATCGAAAAGAAGAAAATAATAAAAGAATTTTTTTTTAATCTCACTAATTGCAAACCAAGTCACCAATTTTTCTTCATCAAAACTGACAGAATGACGTGTCGCATGATAACCAAAGGTGTAAATAACTAGCACTTACATTCGCTCGTAAATCGTGCGTTTCCCCTCTTGAATAACATTTTTTTTTGAGTCCGAAAATTACTCTAACATATGTCGTTTTTTTCTCTATTTCATTCTAATTTTCCATCAAAAAGAGGGTCGGGAATGTGTCAATTGCGGTGCGACGAGTACACCTTTATGGAGGAGAGACGGAACCGGACATTACCTTTGCAACGCGTGCGGTTTATATTATAAAATGAATGGACAAAATAGGCCGCTCATCAAACCAAAAAGAAGACTGGTAAGTTTTTTTTAAATTATTCAATTTTATTACAACAAACGTTATGTTATGACATTTAACATTTTCTCAAACTCCATACTTAAATAGTTAATTAATCGTTACGTCCAATAATTATAAATCACTTTACGTCTACACCAAGTACGTGTAATCAAGGCTATCGCAAAAAGATTTTTTTATTCCCCCGATACTATTTCCTGTATAGCATAGGTACTAATTGCCCTACATTAATTACCATAAGCCGTGTGTTAATCGGATTTCGATTTGTATAAATCAGAGCGGTGCCAAAAAGTAGTCTTGGAAAACTTGAAACCCGGCGGCAGCGGCTTGTATATGTCGACACTCCACGTTTCACCTCTTCATCACCACGTTTCTGGTTTCGTACAATTTCGCCTTCCCACCCGCAAAACTAAATTGCATCGATTACGCCATCGAGAACACCGCCCGTAACACGCGTATCCGTTGAGTTACGACTTCCTGTTAATATCGTAATTAATTCGATCGGTCGTGCGCGCACACCGAAGCCGGTTTCCTCAAACAACTTTTTTCAATACATTTAAAGCTCTTTTTTATTTATAATAATAATAAACGTAATATGTCGTAATGGTCTTCCACTTTCAAATTGGTACTAAAAAAAACTTTTTTGTCGTATAAGGGTATCATCGAAAATGGAATTACAAAACTATTGAATCATAAATTGATGTGCGGATGACAGGGACATGAGCTTATTAGCCTATATGACGTTCAGCTGATATAGGAACAATGTCTACCCGAAGCCGAAGCATTTGTAAACTGACCAAACAACAACGAATTACTACCACAATTCTGAACGATCCTTATATCCCAATTATAATCTTAAATGCTTTATTTTTTATTTTTCAAACAGGTTTTTAAAAACTAAACTAATCATTAAAGATACTTGAAATATAATATTATTTTTAAATCCTTGATTTTAATAATTTTAATCTTCTTTGAACAACTCGACATGCAAGATATAAAATCTTTTGACATGTTATGTCATGCTAGATTTCCTGCTAAATAAGATATAAAGTTTTACGATATTAACATTTTACCCAAAGATGTGGAACAAAGAATATTTTTACCTTATTTTTTCCTTTACTTTGAATAACCTGGACATTAATTGTCAAATTAATTCTCTGTTTAATGAGCTTTCTTTTAAGGTATTAATACATCTTAATTTGCTCAAAAGTTACAGAAGGAAGAGACCGATATATTTTTAATTTTGTCCATTTTGATATATTTAAAGTAACTAATCCTTGGTATTTCAAATAAAACCATACCACTTCCAAATCATTATAATTTAAGCTATCTTTTAAGATATAGAACGTTAAAATATACCGATTTTCTTAGAAGTTACATTCAGATCTACATTTTTCGATTTTGACCATTTTGATGTATTTATAGTAGCTGATCATAAAAAATCTTGGTAATTCAAGTATAACAGCATATCATTTTTAAATATTTATCATTTAAACTACCTTTTAAGATATAGAACGTTAAAATATTCCGATTTTTTTAAAAGTTACAGAAGGAAGAGACCGATATATCTCAATTTTGAACATTTTTATATTATTTGAAATAAGTAGGCATTAAAGATCTTAATAATTTAAATTAAACACCATATCGGGTTAATCTGTATTATTTAAACTTTCTTTTAATAGATGAAACATGAAAATGTTTATATTTTATCTAAACATATGGACGGGAGAGACCGACTTTCATTAGCTTTAGTTAACTAAACATTGAAGATTTTATAAGATTTATTAAAACAATTTACCTAATTCTTCTGTTAAATTAACTTTCTTATGAGATATAAACTAATAATATATTCCAACTTACTAAAAAGTTTCAGACGAAAGATTCTTATATATCTCGATTTTACACATTCCGTTTATTTGGAGTAACTAGTCATTAAAGATCTTGCTTATTTCACTAAAACATAGTATCACCTTCAAATATTTATAACTTAAGCTTTCTTTTAAGCTATAAAACATTAAAATATTTATATTTTATTGAAAGATGTGGAGGTGAGAGACTAAAGTCTTATTTTTAACCACTTTCGTCAGTTTTGAATAACTGGACATTGAAGATTATACAAAATCGTTTGAAACGCTATCACATATTCGATTCTCTATTAAATGAACTTTCTTTTAAGATATTAATTATAAATATATCTTAATTTACTCAAATGTTACGAACGGGAGAAACCTATTTATGCCGATTTTAACCATTTTGATGTATTTGTAGTAATTAATCTTGAAAGGTATCAACTAAAATACCATATCATTTTTAAATCTTCATCATTTAAGTTATCTTTTAAGATATAGAATGTTAAATATCCCGATTTTCTTAGAAGTTACAGAAGGGAGAGACCTATATATTCAGATTTTAACCATTTTTATGTATTTATAGTAACTAATCATAAAAGATCTTGGTAATTTGGGTAAAATACCATATCATTTTTAAATCTTCATCATTTAAGCTATCTTTGAAGATATAAGACATTAAAATATCCCGATTTTCTTAGAAGTTACAGAAAGGAGAGACGATTTTGACAATTTTGATGTATTTATAGTAGCTGATCGTAAAAAATCTTGGTAATTCAAATAAAACGGCATATCACTTTTAAATCTTCATCATTTAAGCTATCTTTTAAGATATAGAACGTTAAAATATCCCGATTTTCTTATAAGTTACAGAAGGAAAAGTCCTATATTTTTCGGCTTTAAATATTTTTGTACTATTTGGAATAAGTAGATATTAAAGATCTTGGTAATTTGGGTAATATACCATATAATTTTTAAATCTTCATCATTTAAGCTATCTTTTATGATATAGTTCATTAAAATATCCCGATTTTCTTAGAAGTTACAGAAGGGCGAGATCTACATTTTTCGATTTTGACCGTTTTGATGTATTTATAGTAGCTGATCATAAAAAATCTTGGTAATTCAAGTAAAACGGCATATCATTTTTAAATCTTCATCATTTAAGCTATCTTTTAAGATATAGAACGTTAAAGTATCCCGATTTTCTTAGAAGTTACAGAAGGAAAAGACCTATATTTTTCGGCTTTAAATATTTTTGTACTATTTGGAATAAGTAGATATTAAAGATCTTGGTAATTTGGGTAATATACCATATCATTTTTCAATCTTCATCATTTAAGCTATCTTTTAGGATATAGAACGTTAAAATATCCCGATTTTTTTAAAAGTTACAAAAGAAAGAGACCTATATTTTTCGGTTTTGACCATTTTTGACCTATTTCGAATAAGTGGATATTAAAAACCTTGGTAATTTGGGTAAAATACCGTAACATTTTTAAATCTTCATCATTTAGGCTATTTTTTAATATATAGATCATTAAAATATGCCGATTTTCTTAAAAGTTACAGAAGGGAGAGACCTACATTTTTCGATTTTGACCATTTTGATGTATTTATATTAGCTGATCATAATAAATCCTGCTAATTCAAGTACAACAGCATATCACTTTTAAATGTTTATGATTTAAGCTATCTTTTAAGATATAGAACGTTAAAATATCCCAATTTTTTTAGAAGTTACAGAAGGAAGATACCTATATTTTTCGGTTTTGACCATTTATGTCCTATTTGGAATAAGTAGATATTAAAGATTTTGGTAATTTGGGTAAAATACCATATCATTTTTAAATCTTCATCATTTAAGCTGTCTTTTAAGATATAGAACGTTAAAATATTCCGATTTTCTTAGAAGTTACAGAAGGGAGAGACCTACATTTTTCGATTTTGACCATTTTGATGTATTTATAGTAGCTGATTATAAAAAATTTTGGTAATTCAAGTAAAACANCTCAAATGTTACGAACGGGAGAAACCTATTTATACCGATTTTAACAATTTTGATGTATTTTTAGTAATTAATCTTGAAAGGTATCAACTAAAATACCATATCATTTTTAAATCTTCATCATGTAAGCTATCTTTTAAGATATAGAACGTTAAAATATCCCAATTTTTTTAGTAGTTACAGAAGGGAGAGACACATTTTTCGATTTTGACCATTTTGATGTATTTATAGTAGCTGATCATAAAAATCTGAGTAATTCAAGTAAAACAGCATATCACTTTTAAATCTGAATCATTTAAGCTATCTTTTAAGATATAGAACGTTAAAATATCCCGATTTTTTTAGAAATTACAGGAGGAAGACACCTATATTTTTCGGTTTTGACTATTTTTGTCCTATTTGGAATAAGTAGATATTAAAGATCTTGGTAATTTGGGTAAAATACCATATCATTTTTAAATCTCTATCATTTAAACTATCTTTTAAGATATAGAACGTTAACATATCCAGATTTTTTTTAAAGTTACAGAAGGAAGATACCTATATTTTTCGGTATTGACCATTTTTGTCCTATTTGGAATAAGTAGATATTAAAGATCTTGGTAATTTGGGTAAAATACCATATCATTTTTAAATTTTCATCATTTAGGCTATCTTTTAAGATATAGAACGTTAAAATATCCCGATTTTCTTAGAAGTTGCAGAAGGGAGAGACCTACATTTTTACGATTTTGACCATTTTGATGTACTTATAGTAGCTGATCATAAAGAATCTTGGTAATTCAAGTAAAACAGCTTATCACTTTTAAATCTTCATCATTTTAGCTATCTTTTAAGATATAGAACGTTAAAATATCCCGATTTTCTTAGAAGTTGCAGAAGGAAAAGACCTATGTTTTTCGGTTTTGACTACTTTAGTCCTATTTGGATTAAGTAGATATTAAAGATCTTGATAATTTGGATAAAATAGCATACCATTTTTAAATCTTCATCATTTAAGCTATCTTTTAAGATATAGAACGTTAAAATGTCCCGATTTTTTTAGTGGTTATAGAAGGCACAGACCTATATATTTCGATTTAAATCGTTTTTACGTATTTATATTAACTAATCATAAAAGATCTTGGTAATTTGGGTAAAATACCATA